TTTGGTTTGCAGAAATAGAGGTTTGGAATCGGAATTGGAATGAATTATTCCGGTTTCAACTGTTTGGTTGGACAGAATCGGAATTTTGTTCCCATTTTTTCTATAATGACATTCTCCCATTTGAGGGAATAGCCATTCCCTACCCTTCCCTTGGGAATAAAATTCCATTCCTGCGTGAACCAAACAGACTATAAGAATACATTATATATTTTGATCCCAGTTCCAACTATGAACCAAACAGATCCTAAGATCTGTCAATTGAGCAATAGCTGGTGTAAAACTAGCCTCAATCACATCTGGTGTTCCACCCGCCCTAATTAGCATAGAGTCAATAAGCTAGCTTGCCACCTTATTTTCTACTTCTCTCTAATTTTTTATCTAACCAATCGTAACATAGAAGTATTGTGATTTATTTTATCTATAATTGTGGCAAATTCAAGAATTTAGGGCTATATATAGAGAGAGAACCAACCATATGACTCAATCACTCAACTGAATCCAACCACATAGGTTGGGTTGGGCTAGCATCTGAGGATCTCTTGTTGTAGTTCACTCCAGCCCTAGGCTATAAGCCTTTACCCAACATTGTGCCGGAGTTTTGCCTGATTACTATATTCACATCAGCTGTCCAAATTCGTGATTCTCTTAATTTTTCTCTTTTAAACTAGAAAAGAAAATGTCTGTGAGTGGGTGCCTTCATGTTGTCTTATCTTATTAGTTATCACTGCACATTATTAATAAAATTAACTAGCTAAGACGTGCATATCATATATCAGAATGAAATAACTTAAAACTTTAAAACACAAAGCAATTTTTGTCAGACTTAAACTTCATTGTTTGGTTTGGATTGGATTGTATTAGATTGGAGTTTGATCCATGTTTGGTTCGATTATAAATGAATCAAAATTTGATAGCCTTAAATGCATTACGTTTCAGATTCAAATTCAGAGGAATAGATACCATTTGGATGATCATTGTACTCTACCGAATATAATCAGTAATTTACTCTAACCAATATTGCTTTTACATGTATCCTTGTCAAAAGTGATTGTCTTTTCAATTCTTATGTTAAGGTGATTTAGGGGTTTTTCGGTACAGTGGCACACTCGAATGTAATGTGGTTGAATCTATACCACTGTTGCGTGGATGAATCCATACTATTTTATCATGGATAAAAAATTACAATATTTTGTGAATTCGAGTTGTTTGGGGATGGTTTTGAATTGGCCACACCCTCAAACAAACACCCCCTACAAGGTTGAAATGCAAGTTGAATTTGTTTGGGCATAGTTGAGGTCAACCCTAATCTAACTTGTTCAACCTCCAGTCCTAACCTTAATAATTAAATAATAAAATATTCCAGGTATATTAATTAACGAGCCTAACTTCCTGATTCAGCCATTATGGAACTCATAACCTCTTTAACAACTTCTTCACTAAAAGATAAAGCATTGAGTGATTCTGTTGAGCCATTTTATGTGTTATAAAATAACTTTAGTCTTAATAAATATATAGGACAGAGTAAAGGTGGATTAGGAACAATATACTTATGTTACATTAAAAGATCTTTGACTTCATATATATATATATATATTTATTTATTTATATATATAATGTGTGTGTAAGTATTCGGATCTTCTGCAAATAAAATATATTTCAACACCCTCCCAACATGATCTGGCACCATAGAACCCATCAGTATGATATGTGCAGATCATGTTGGGAGAGTGTTGGAATGTATTTTGTTAGCAGGTGATCAGATATTATTTGTATATGAGTTTTGACTATGATGTCATAAAGACATGATACTAAAAATTTATAACCAATAAACTGGCATCATAAAAGTAGTAATCAATCCGGTAGGTTTTCATCAAAATTAAAGGGGGTTTTAATTGGTCAAAGCCTTTCTGATATCATGTCTTTTCATCGTTATACAGTTTTCCTTTATATAATGTTTATATATGCAAATATGTGCAAATATAAAAACATGTCAGATTTTGGTTGGGTCAGGTTACCCAAGTGATGTGAATACATATTATTTAGGGAGAATGACCGATCAGCCCAGGGTCAGAATTTGTAGGCCCAAAGTACTATCGGGATAAATACCAGTTCGGAATTGATGCCAATTCATAAGCAGACATTGATGCATAGAGTGTGGACTGTGGTCCTTTTGAATGTTTATAGCTCTACAGCGTAAATCAGAAATTTGTATTGGGCAAATCCTTACTTCTCCGTATTATTTACTTCTACTTGCAAGAGAAGGATTAGCATTCCTTTGCAATTTTGCTAACGATCTTGGTTATTCAATGCTTCAAAAGTACCAAATATTTGGCAATAGAGAGGAAAATCTCATCAAAATTATAGGGAAACTGATTTGAGATCAAATGGTGATAGGAGTAATCTTGAAACAAGGGTTCTAATCCAAGCATTATGGAAGCTTGGCTAGAAACACCTAAGCAAATTTAAAAGAAATTAATAAGAGAGAGAATGGAGAGAGTTAAAGGAATTGGGGAGAATTAATAAGATAGGTAGGTATTTATAGCAAGAAGTTACATTTAAATGAAATTAAAAACAGGGTAAATTACATAGTGCCACACTGCACTTAGGGGGTAGTGACCCTTAGCCCCCTCAAAATTTGTTTTACCACAAAGAATCCTTTAAATTTCTGCATTTCAGCACTTGTTCCATAGTCTGTTTAAGGAGTTGACACTTGACAGTGAGATACTGTGATTCCAAACCCCAGTTGAAGAAGAAACAGAGTAACCCAATCCAAAAGAGACATTGTGCTATATTATACTTACTTTCATTATTTTGGTAGGGACTGGGCAATTTTGTAATTTAACTTTCGCCATCAATATCATCAATGGAATAAAGGGCAAAGTGCTAAAATCCAGAAGTTTAAGGGGTCTTTGTTGCAAAACAAAGTTAAGGGGATTAAACATCACTGCCCCAAGTATAGGGTAGCAGTCTGTATTTCACCCTTTTGCTTATATATTTGGTCTCCTCTCCCTCCCTCTCAAACACTGTACAACAACCCTCCCTTTATCATGTAGGAGAGACCCCGTTCTTAAAAATTAGATGTGGCAGTGGTCTCCATTGTTGATCACAATGTTCTCTTCATTAAGAGTTCGGATCGGTTATTGAGAGTAGAGTCTGGGTTTGGGTTTACTGTTGTGTTTGTTATTGCCCATTCACCAAACAAACCAGAGGAGAAGACATTACCACTTGCCTATCTTAGAGGAGAGGTATGTATGTATCACTGTTCTAACTTCTTTTAGCGGATGATTCCTAACCTATTTGTGGGAGATTAAGTGTTGTGAAGAGAACTAATAATAACAAAGATTGAAAGAATAGCAAAGAAAAATTTACATTGTTTGGTGTTAATTATAAACCTATGTCCTTGGAGGATCCCTACCTAGATTATGGGTCTCTGCTGCAATGAAGCAAATCGCAAAATGAAAATTTAAATGATTGTGGGTCTCATGTATTTTATTATTATTGTGGAGTGTTATCATTGGTTCCACAGCCCGCTAAATAGTTATTACATTCAAACGGTGTTTGATTCTATTGCTGTTTATCTGAAAAATGGTTCATCTTCAATGTCACATAGGTGTTTCCTTTGAAATGCTTAAATTGTTTATTAAATAAATATTTGCATTGGTTTGTGTGAGAGCCATATGTTGAGAGAAACTTCTTTTTAATATTTCCTCTAACATCCAGGCATTTTTTCATTATTCAGCTTATGTGGTGTCTAATGACACCTAAAACGTCAATAGAACCAAACAGCCCCTCCAACCTCCAAAGCATGCATTGAGAAGCACTTTTTTCCAATGTTCAAGATCAGACTATTAGCATTTAGTAAATTTTTTGACACATGTCGGCCCATCTACCTTTAAATAATTCAAAGCAAATTCCTAAATATGAGTTGGGATCTACTCAGACCAATCTCATAACATGTTCCAATGGGGAACATCTCCCTATTATATATTCATGGAGATGTTCTCAAAACATGGTGGGATAGGGCTGTGAGGTCAGTGTGAGGAGTGCTCGGTGAGGAGCAGATCCCAATTCCTTAAAGATACCTAATAAAATATTTATCATGCTTAGTGAGCCAAGTGGAACTTCAATTTAAGCCTAAATTGTTTGATTAAAGCTCCATTCAGTTACACCTCTAGTTAGATTTAGTGTCCACCCAACGTGCTAATAATTATTTGACAATTTTTTTGAAGTAATTCTTACCTTTTTATGTTAAACCAAACATAGGCTATGGGTGTAAGGATGGTTGCCAAGAACAACAAGAAGAAATTTTCTGTAGAAGTATCTATCAATGACATCTATTTACGGCAAAATGAAGTATCAAATTATAGACACCAGGATTAATGTATATTCCACATGCCTAAAATAGTAAAAATAAAAAAAAAAATTTAAAACGCTCATATGGTACAATCAACAAAAAAAAAAAAATAAATAAAAGAGAAAAAGCCATATCTCTTATGAGAAGCAGAATATAAAGGATATATAGAAAAAAAATGTCTTATTTCTTTGAAACTATAATGTAGAATTACACATAATAAATGAAAAAACATCTTATATCATGGGGGGAGATATTCCCAATGTATGATTAGATGTGAATGTGGGGCGTGCTCTGTGGGGAGCCTTAATTAGGGCTATAACGGATTGGATTGAACCATATATAAAGAGTTAGGGGGTGCAATTTGAGTTGGCCAAAGTTACTATTTTACACTGATTTAAGTTTGGGCCATTAAAAATTTGACAAAAGCCCAACCCAAATCTGCCCAAATTGAACCATAAAGAGTCAGATTTGATTTGCTAATATGCGGATATGAATTGAATCTTATTGGATTTAGTTTTGATTCTTATCAGATTTGGATGCATGTTAAATTTGAAAATTTTTAATGAAAATAAAATAAAAACAAAGCAATCAAAATATCATGGATTACCATATAAAAGGGGATATTTGTCTTGATTTTACCCTTTGCTTGTAGTTGTATCAACCCGTATCATTGTAATAGAATAGGTGGTAACCAATCAGATGTATTTAACAAGATTTACGAGGGATTTTCATTGGTCAAAATTCTTCCTGTATCATGCCTCTCCACTCCAGTCTCCAGTTTTTCTGAAAATGTGAGTTGACTCGTTGCACGTCAACTCACCCGATTCTGAGTGTGTGAAACAGAGGTCCGAGTGGTCCACCCACCTCCACGAACGACAGACGGAACTGACACTGGCAGCTCGCAGGCAGAGAAGAGACGAACGCTGACAAGCACCCCAAACCTTTTCACCTTTGGAAATTAAAAAATGATTCTTGTAGTACGTGACTGTGAAACTGTGAATCGAATCTTTGATAAGATGGAAAGAAAACCAGCCCCCCGTGACCGTGAGTAGACAATGGTGATGACTGATGAGTGGTGAGGATAATAGCTAGCAAATAGCAACTACACATATATATGTAAGGAAGAATATACAGAACGAACCCAAGCAGTAAAGTATCCCCACTTTCGGCTCTGCTTTCTGTCTTTGGCTTGGCTTTAATTTGTTGAAAAAGATTCTCAATCGCCATCTTCCTCATTTTCTCTCCTCACTTCTTCTTCTTCTTCTTCTTCTTCTTCTTCATTATCTACATACATGCTTCCAGAAGACAGAAGAGGAATATGGCGCCTATGATCTGGTTTTCTTGGTTTGTGGTGGCATTGGTACTTCAAGTGTCTAATTTGGCCGAGTCGAGGCGGGAATTGACAATAACACCACCATTGCCAGTTCTTCCACTCCCAACAGCAGGTCAGTTGAAATGGCAGAGGCGAGAGCTTGTCATGTTCCTTCACTTTGGGATGAACACCTTCACAGACTCGGAGTGGGGAACTGGGCATGAGAAGCCATCCATATTCAATCCAACTGGATTGGATGCCCATCAATGGGTCGATGCTGCTGCTGATGCGGGAGTCACCCTGGTCATACTCACAGCCAAGCACCATGACGGCTTCTGCCTATGGCCTTCTCGATACACAGAGCATTCTGTCAAGAGTAGTCCGTGGAAAGACGGACATGGCGATGTCGTCCAAGAACTGGTGGATGCAGCCAAGACTAGAGCTGTAGACGTCGGGTTGTATCTTTCGCCTTGGGATCGACATGAGAAGAGATACGGGCTGGAGAGACCATATAATGAATATTACTTGGCCCAATTGCAGGAGCTGCTCAACAGGTACGTAGATTCATTAATTAATGGAGAAGAAATTAAAAAGAATTTTATATGTACTTTTGTCTTTGTTTAATTTGCAGATATGGGAGTGTTCAGGAGATTTGGTTCGACGGAGCCAAAGGGCCGAATGCGCCAAACATGACGTACTACTTCGCGGATTGGTTCTCCATGGTGAAGGAATTGCAGGGTTCAATCAACATTTTCTCTGATGCTGGGCCTGATGTCAGATGGATTGGAGATGAGACGGGATACGCGGGAAGTACGTGCTGGTCCACCATCAACCGAACTTCTCTGAGAATTGGAGATGGAAGCATTGTGGGGTATGTAAACATTCTCTGAGAATTCAATTCAACTCAACAACAATTTCATTCTATATGATGGTAAATCGATCCATAAAAATTAATGCAGTTATCTGAAGACGGGAGATCCCAGAGGAACCGACTGGGTGCCTCCTGAATGCGACATCTCAATCCGAACAGGTTGGTTTTGGCACAGAACGGAACGGCCAAAAGCATTAAGCGAGCTACTGAGTATCTATTACAACTCAGTGGGACGGAACTGTGTGATGCTGCTTAATGTACCACCCAATTCAACTGGGCTGATACAAGACACCGACGTCCAAAGGCTACGAGAGTTTAGAAAAGCACTTGACACCATATTCTCTACCAATTTGGCTCAAGGGTGTAACGTCAAGGCCAGTAGCCAAAGAGGAGGAAAGGATGGTGGCTTTGGACCTGAACACGTTCTTGACGATGACCATTTGTGGACGTACTGGGCTCCAGGAGACGAGTCCAAGAGGGAGCACTGGATCGAAGTGAAGGCGCCAGCAGAGACAGGTTTGAGATTCAATGTCGTCAGGGTTCAAGAAGCAATTGGGCTGGGGCAGAGGATCAAATCCCATGAGATTTATGCTGATGGGAAGCTGGTGGCCAAGGGGACGACTGTTGGTTACAAGAGGCTTCACAGGCTTGGACAGGGAGTGATTCATGCTCGTACTAGTGTGATTATCAGAATCACAGATGCCAGAGAAATACCTCTGATCTCGTCCATTGGTCTTCATTTTGATCCATTTTGGCACTCCAGAAGAGGGTTACTTACAGTGGAGTTGAAGAGCTAGCTAGCTAGCTCAATGAGATTGAGCCAATAAGCTCTTGAGCTTATGATATCTATGGATCCAACCCAAGTAACCAACTACTTTTTATTTAATTTCTCAGAGATATAGAGACATCATATAGACCTAGTGGCTTTCATACTTCTGTTGTTTATTGGAATATTGTTGCATGTCATTTGTCACATGTGACAAAAGTTGGAGAGCTGTCAAAGTTACAGAAGAAATGAAGAATACATACAACCATGTGAGTTTGTCCATCAACAGAGAAAACCAGTAAAGAATAAATGGCCCATATGTGCAGGGGCCCGGCTGGACACACTAAACAAGGCTGTGTTATCACTATCCCACATGAACAAAAACTAAACTTATCAGTAGTGCCTAGAGAGAAGTTGCCAGTGAAAAGACGAATTACAGAGAACATAGGTTGAAATCATCCAAGCTAAGATTACAGAGGTAAGACCGAGGACGACGTTGGAAGATGAAACTGACCACGCTGGGATCCAAGTCCAACTCCATTGATCATTTGATTAGGACGTATTACCTATTTTCCTCACTTGTCTAATCAAAGACGGTGATTTCCAGTCCCACTTCCACATACTAGTAGGACCCCAATAAGATAAAACCGACGCTAATTCATCCAGAGTGGCTTGTCTGTTTGTTCTTCTGAATCTCCTCTTCATTCGAGGGAACAAGTAGTTAGAAAAAGGAGGAATTCCAGCAAAGCAGGGTGATTAATTAATGGAGAGGAGAATCCAATGAATACATGAATGGTTGTTGGGAATCTATCATCATCATCATCATCAAAAGAGATTGTGTTAAAACATATTTCGTGGGTCAGAAAAGTATAGTGGCTTTAGCGTCGGTTTTAGCTGCGGCTAGTCATCCTTGAATGTCTCTATAAAAGTAAAAGGTCTTCGTTTAGCAGCGGTGGTGGGAGTCTGGGAGATGAATCGTAGATTAGGAAAACAAATGTATGCGCAAATTAAGAAATTTTAATATTAATAAATTATAGGGTAAATTATAGATAAATACCTTGTACTTTGGGATAAGTAACACTTAGATACCCTAAACTTTCCAATGTAACACTTAGGTACCTCGAACTTTCAGAAATAGACACTTAGGTCCATTCCTTAATATTCTATCAGTTAAACATTTTATAATACCAAAATTACCCTTTTCATGTATTTGCATCACTACAATCAGCAATGTTAGAGGCATTGTTCATTTTCTTCAACCTTATAAAAATTTGTAAGGTGGGTTTTAGTGAGATTTCTGCTAAAATTTATTCTAAGTTATATTTTAGTGGCAGTTGGGCTTAAAAATCTATAACAAAATAGTTACTTGTAATTAGGCGAGAGGCATTGTTCATTTTCTTCAACCTCTCGCCCATTGACAAAGTTGGAGAGCCCACCTATCTGCAGGTTGAATCTGATCTTCCTCATCATGAGAGAGGTCTCATAAATCTAGTCCTTGTGCAGTACAAGAGGGTACTTCAAGATCGAGTTTAGATGTAAACAAGTCTTTGAAGTGGGAGAAATATTCTGTTTTTTATTGTACATTTGAAAGTTATTTTCTTAATTAGTGATGGGTTTTCCTTTTTCTTGTACCTTACATGTGGGGACAGTGTAATAAGATTTGGACTGGATGGTTGTACCAGTGACCTGGTGACCCAATGATCTACTTCTTTGGATCTCAGCTAAATGACAGCCAGTAATCATCACGATTAACCAGTAAAATCATGACCAAGTGAACATTACGGTTCTCTGTCTGGTCTGAGTCTTACAACATTGATGAGAAATATTTCAGTTCTCGTCCTCCCTCTTGTGACTTTTAGATCTCTCTAATGGTGCTCTTTTTTTTCTTCTCCTTTTTGCACCTTATGAAGGTTATGGTGCTGCTAGAAAATCTCCCATGAGGGGTTTTTTAATACAAGTGGTATGACCATATAAGACCTGATCATCTTTTAGCCAATAAATTGGGTTGTAGGAATTCTTTGGTCTGTTATTCCATTTGCGTGAAGAGAGAGAGAAGAGATCGCCATCTTTGGCCGGCATAGTTTTGTAGAACCTTAGAGAGAGAGAGAGAGAGAGCAAGGAGATGGTGGGGGTAGTTTTGCTGAGATCAAGGAGAGTAGGAAGTGAATCACTATTCACGTTTGGACTCAAAGGGAGTGTGTGTTGATTCATGGGTTAAAGGTTTTATTGATTAAATATCTATGTTTCATAATATGTATTGAGTGCTTATTCCATGTGCTCAACTTGGCTTCAGAACCGTCCCAGTTAATACTCGGGTCTATTGGATCTGGACTGAAAAACCCGATTATACTTCAAGTTATTATTTTTATTTAAATAACTTAAAATTTAAAATTTAATAATATAATCTTAATAAAAATGTTAAAAAAATACTACATTATTTATATGTTAATAAACTAAACATTTTTAAATAATATTATCTCATTTGTTATCTATTAAATTTACTATTTCAAACATAATATAATAAAAATTATAAAGAAATTAAGAAAATATTATATATTTAACAAAATAATCAGTTCCAAGTCTGAAACAGTTTGGGACAGGCAAAAACCAGAACTAATTATTAATCATGAAACCAGAACTGTTATAATTGGTTTGTTAAATTCGGGTTCGTCCAATAGACCCAACCCGTTGACAGCCTAATTAAATTGGTATCCTCTCAAAATGTAAGAAAAATCCCTTCAAATCCAAAAGCACTGGATCCAGAATGCATCTCCTGGTTCATATCAGTGACTTGTATAAGAGGTCCATTCGTGTTATAGGTGTGGTACCAAGGATGAAAGTCTGAACAATCAAAACTGAACCCAACCAGATTTCTAATCATCATCTAAGCCCTGCCCCAACTACAACCAGATCTGTAATCAAAATCACAAGAAGCTGAAATTCCCTTCAACAAAAACAACCATCCAGCAGAATCCCTTTCCCTCCTTATGCCACCTGTGACCAATAGCACTGAGATAATATACCACTAAGTTTTCTCTGCTCAAAGCCATACCACATCTACCATGTTTCATACGAAAATGGAAAACATGAAAGTTGCTTAAAAGTAAAATGGTTATAATTCTTCAGAAATGAACTACCAAGTACCAATTGAAGAATGTACCTAGGCAGTAAAAACATATCCATCTCTCTTAAATCAATAAGCCCATTTACAGACCGGAAATTTGGAAATTGGAACAATATGATCTTGGTCTCGTCGTAGTTTTGATGGGTGAGGCTATCCGCCTTGAAACTCTGACCTCTTCCTCACTTAGAATAATTGCGGCAGACATTGCTGGATCCTTGACCATTACAGAATTCACCGTAACTTCAACTGCGAGTCTGAACAATGTTGCACAGCTATCTTTAGTGTATGGGAACCAAAATTAATCTCCATATTTAATAATTTATGTTTTTAAGAGACCTTGGCACAGTTGATAAAATACAAAGGGAAATCTAGAATTTTCATTTCAAATTCTAAGAGAATATTGGAGGATACAACAATAAATACATGACCTGTAAACAACTATAGGCCAATTTTTTCCCCTTTGGTTGGTAGCTGAAGGCCCAAATTTACAACTCAATTTAGTCAAAAAATTTTTGTACAAAATAGCATGTGTGACACAAAGTTGTTCCACTGGTATATACACATTTGACATTCTCAATGTTCAGTGCCTGATGAATTTTGGCCCAAGTTGTCTGAATGCGGCGCCCTTGAAAATTCCCGCTAATGACAAATCTTATATACAATTAAAACTGAATGGCTTAAGACATTTATTTTATGAGAGGGCTAAGCCCATCTCCTTCCCATCCAAGCTTAAGCATTTGATCCACCACCTTCAAGCTCAACTACAGGCCAAAGAAGCAGCAAAGTCACAGTAAGCCTCTTGAAAGGAGCTGTGGTTGTGATTAAAAAAAAAACACAAAACATAACTATTATAACTTACAGATGGATCAGTAAAAACTATCAACTGTTTGTTTGATGTTGACACTAAAAGATTAGTGTTATCCTTGTTCAGAGCCAGAGTGGTTATGTCTTGCCCTTCTCTCAGGTTCAGTGCATGAAATACCTGCTAGTAGTAAAGGATTCTTTTCTTGTTAGAACAGATTTCTAAAAAGTGTAATATAAGACAAAACGATCTTTATTTCACATTGTTTCCAGACCTTCAGAGTATGCAGATCCAGGAAGCAAATAGAAGGCATTGAAACTGTCAACTTGTTTAAGTTCTCATCAGTTGACTCCATAGCAAGATCACTGATCTCATGCTCGTTTGATTGCAAACTTTTTCTGCTATCATAGATGTTGTCTTTCTCTGAAGATGAATTCACTCCAATTATAGCATTTTCTCCATCAACAGAAATCTCCATGCAACTAATAGTGCAACAGAAAGGTGATAGTTTTGCTGAGGCAATTGGAACCCCATTGATGGTGAAGGTGTTGAGACTATGCTCTGATTTGTTCCAGGTCATTATAACCCCTCCAGAAGAAAGGCAAATAGCATGTGCCTCCACCCCAACCAACCTCCTGATCAATCGGCCACTCCGTATAGAATGGATCAGCACATCTGAAGAGTAAGAACATGATGCAACAATTCCGAGATCGGAATTGGCACAGCAACAAATTATTTCCCTGAGATGGCCCCTCAGTACATGTATAGGGCCTTCAATACGGCGTCTCCAGTTATTGTCTCTGATAATGTGTGCCAGGTTACCAGTGCTCGAAGAGGTGGGTGTGCCAGACCCAGAGGAAGACTCTGAAATGTTGCTAGAGTGTGATGTGGATGCCCAATGTACCCTCCATAATATGACTGTTGCATCACGAGACCCAGTCACAAGGTAGTTGCTATCTGGTGACAAACCAAGGCAAGTCACTGGAGCACAATGACCCATGGCTGTTTCAATGGCTTTTGCTCCATCAGTTGATATCAACTTGATACTGTTGTCCACATGCCCACCTAATCACATTTGTAAAAAGGATATGGTGTGAGACTATGAAAGCCAATTGAATATGCACACATGCACATAGTGTAGGGCTCCAGAAATTCAAATTTGTCAAAAGGAGTCCTATAAAGCCTCCTGATTCTGATGCAAGAAGGAAAAAGAAAGATAAAGGTGATGATACAAAAGTCTATCAATTCATACAAATCATGAACGGTTTATGTGTCCAGGTAGATAGCATATTGCCCTTGATGCTCCTTTTTATCAACCCAGTAAAAAATTTCCAAGTTAGTTAGAAGCTCAGATACGTAGAAAATGTTGAACAGTTGAAAAAATTACCCTCAACATTAGCAGCTTACCTATTGAATTCAACCAAAGTTCTTTTTTGTACATGTGGAGTTTTATCATAAATGGTAATGAAAAAAAGTTAAATAGGAATTGCTTGCCTTTGAAGGTTAGCATTTTTCCAGGCAAGTTCTCTCCAATATTTCATAGAAAAACCAAATTGCAAAAAGTTCACAAATCACAAGTGCACTGCTCCAATTTCCACAGTTATAAACCTAATACAATATTCATATAAACTCCAAATTGCAGAATAAGAAAATTTGTTGTTCACCTAAAATTAATATTAACTGCTTCTTAATTGCACTGTTTAGTGGATAAATTGACTCCTAAGCTTTTGTCATTGAATTCATAAGTTTATTTTTATTGCATAATAGTACCCGACTGATGTGAAGGGATTCGTTGGAGCTTGGTATGTAAGTGGATTAAGCAGGGATGGAAAATTAGCTTGCAACATCTTCCCTTCAGTTTTTTGGGCAGTGTGCGGTGAAAGAAAGAGCAGAATTTTTGAAGACAGACAAAGTACAAAAGAAGAGGTGTTTAAAAGGATTTCAGGAATGTGCATGAGGTGCACGAGGCATACGCCTCTAGCACACCTCATGAAAAAAGCGCATGAGGCGTATGCCTCTACCAAATAGGTTTATCAAGAGAAAAAAAAATTCAGATACACACTTAATCCAAAATAGTTTAATTGGATTTTTGGCTCTGACAACCCATGATGCAACAATTCAGATAGACACTTAATCCAAAAGGGCCATTTGAGGGCGAAAATAGTGAGAGCAAGGAGATAGCTCGACACATCCAAGGAAAATGATGAGGAAGTCCGACATACATGTTTTCAAAAAGAAGATAGCAGAATAAAGGCAATATAATTGGAGCTAACGGTTAATAATTCCCTCATCTATGTTTTTTTCATATTCCATGGCAAGATGAGCTTCATGCAACTTGAGCTCAGATCAAAACATAATTATCCAAAAGAAAAAACAAAAAAGGTTGAAGAAATTCAATAAGCAGCTAGGAAGAGAGACTCGGGAATGGGTGGTGACCAAGTTCGTTCGTAAGGACAACAAGAGCAGTTTTAAAGTTATTGTGAGTGAGAAATCCAAATAAAATGTTGATGGAACAAGCTTTGACTGTTGGTGCTCCATTGGAGAATTTGCGACAGGTTGAGGATTTTGAGGTGGTGGAGGTGAATTCCTCTTCAGTTGGCAATCCAGAGGCTTGTGGATCTGTTGATTTTCATGAATCTAGAATTTCACCTCTGGGTCTGAACACTGAGTTCGTGGAAGGCCTTGCAATTGGGGAGGTATCTTCCAGAGATGCCACAGAAAGAAAATGAGAGCTCTGAGCCTTGAGGAGATGAAGGTGACAGAAGTTTGAAGGAAGGGGTTGAGGAAAGTCTACAAATGGTTGAAGAAAGTGAGATTGATGCTGGCAATCAGTTAGAGGGTATAGAATTGACAAATAATGTTAATTGCCTTGAGATGGTAATGGTTATTGGGCAGCTTGGAGTGGATAAGAGATTTGGGTTTGAATGTGGAAGGGAGAAATAACTCTCGTTTCAAGTTAGTGGCTTCCCAAATTGAGGGGAGGGGGAGCACAGTGATTGAGTTTGAGATAGCAGGAGGGAAATCAAAGTTGGAAGCTCATTAGGTGTGAAGAAATTTTGTGGAGCAGGCTGCCTCAAAGGTTTATCATAGGAGAAAATACAGAACTAGACCTTTGCAGGATAAAAATGGGGGAGAAGAGACAGGTTGATGATGATCAGGATGAGGAAATTGTGATCGATGAAACTCGTCGTGTAAAGGAAAAAGTTGACTTGGATGAGTTGGTGGACACAGAAGTTGAGTAAAATTCTGGGGATTTTTTTTTTCTGGGTGGTGAAGACTTTGCAAGAAAGACATCTAGAGAATTGGAGGTAGGGAGAAGTGGCAGCAAGGTAGATGGGCTCTCTTTGGATTTAGCAGGTTTGCAAGTTTTTCAGGTTGCTGCAGATGGGTCTTTAGACAGGAAACAAGAGGAAGTTGGCAGTGGTATTTTGACTGAAGGAATTTGAAGAGAGGTGAATTTGAACCATAAGAATGGTGTTGGTGAAGATCATCCAAGCGGTATTGATAGCATATTGTTGTATGATAAGAAGGGTGCAGACTCTAATTGCAATGCTGTTAGAGGATTTAGAAGCCCAAAAAAAAAAAAAACCGAAGACACACAGGTTTCATGCGCGTTTAATAGATTGAAGAAAGGTTTGTTCGGGATTGGTCCAAATAAGTTAAAGAAAGTAAGGCAGTAAGAAAGTCAATAGAGTTTTGGGGATGAGCTTTTGGACTTGTTTTTTAAGTTTGGTTCTTTTGGTTGGGTGTCGGTGGGTTTTGTTGGGTGGGCTTTAAGAAAGGTGTTGGCTGTTTTGTTGTTTTTTATGTTGGTTTGTTTCTACTTTTATTTGTGGTTTATTTTGATGGGGTGCTGTTTGTTGGGGAGCTGATCGGAGCTGGCTTTGTGCTTGCTTGGTTGAGGGGGTCTTTTTAGAAGTTTGGGTGATTTTTCATCACCTCTTTTGTTCCTCTTGTATCTCTTTTTATTTTTAACAAAATTTTGATTTTATCTTCAAGAAAAGGAAAAAAAAAAAAACTGAGCCTCTTACCAGTCATCACTAAGTCAAATGCCTTAACTGCATTATACTGCAACATGTGGAAATCATGCTTAACTGACCAGCTTCCATATCATTTTCTGCCCATAGAATGATGTACATCTAGGATACTTCCAATATGTTCAGCTCATATATAGCAAATAGTTGTTGGTTAAAACTACATTTCCCAGTCCATTTTATGCATCCCTACTTGGAGCATTTTTCATGTCAGGACCTAAAATGTTCCAAATCAAGAATTGATCTCCATATTGAAATCCATACTTGATGGCATTTTGACACTAAAATGATATGAAGGATCAGCACATGCAGAAGGCCAAAGGATTCTCTCATACTTATCAACTGAATTCTTTTGTGACAAATTAATGTCATACCCAAGGAGTACTCCCTTAACAAGGGAAACAAAGCAACACTAAAGAACTCCTAAAATAGTTTTCTGAAAAAGCTTCTGGAAGTTAAAGCATATGTAGTAATGTTACTGTACAACAGACTAGTTATATACCTAAGGTGGAACACAAAATAAGAAGGGATCAACTGAAAGCATACCAGTGATGATTTCTTTGTCACATGTGATGGCAACCACAGCTGAGCTTCTGATTCCAGATACTGGAAATGCTAGTGCCTGTGGAAAGTGCCATTCTTCAGAATTAGACCCAGCTGATCCTTTGAATATGCGCATGAATGCTCCACCACTGGAACTTGCTATGACTTTCCCATGTTGGAAAAGAAAAGGCATGCCCTGGCCATCAGGTGTGTTTGGCTGCCATTTGTGCAGTGCAACATGTGCAGCTGGAGCATTTATATCAACAACTACGACAGAGTCCGGTGATGCATAAATGGAAGCAGCAGGTACATTGCAGCGTTCAGGATTTGGGATCACATATGGTCTAACCTCATTGGGGTTCCGAAAAATGGTCTGACAAGAAACAACAGAAATACAGATCAAGATCCACCTTTCTTTTCCTTTTTTCCAAACATGCTATATACAATGAAATAGAAATGTCAACTAGAGAAGCAGAATATTTAGGCACCAATAGGAGACCTCATTGACAAGGATGATGTTTAACTATCACTGCAAATGGTATTCATTTATCTGAATTCGAATTCAATCTAATTAAGGGTGATCTGAAATTCTGAATTCTATCTGTTTATAATTGGATTGAATATTGATCCATCCCCGTCCAATCTGACATAGTCCAATTCGATTTGATTTAAATGTATATGCTTATATATACTTAAAATTTATATTCTATATATTAGTAAAGTCGGTTTGAATCTTGTGTTTTTACTAAAGAGCCATTGGTTCAAGTTTCATAAAATTTATTTTCAATATATTTTATTCATGACATACAATATCAACCTATTTTACTTCATTTTATTAATAGTATACAATATTGGATCATTTTTAGTTTAATTTATTAATTCTATCCAACATCTGATCGCAATTCAAATCTGATATAAATCCAATGGATAAGATTTGTATTTAAATCCAAATATAAATGAATCAAATTTGGATCTACCTTATATCTGATTGAATTCAATCCATTTGCAGCCGTAAGTTAACCTATTGATCAAAGAACACATACTTGTTATAAATTTGATTGCTTGAAAACACCTTTTTCTGTGGGATATTTTGTATGCGAGAAGTCCATGAATTCTACACTAAACCCATCCTAACATATATGGTGACCGGGGAACACTGATAAAAAGACAGAAGGTATATTATCATATGATAACAGCTAGCCCTTGCAGTAGTGCATATTTATATATAATTAATTTATATCTCAGTTGGCCACTTGAAAACTAATTCATAAGGTCAATGCCTTTTTAATTTATGATCTTCAATCAAAATTTAACATATTCTAAGTCTTGGAAACATCCATTCATACAGTATATGCACTATCATTTTCCTATCAAAGAATATCAAGATCTTATCTCTATGTTTGCAGTATTTTGCATGCATATGGACTTGTACACACTGAAAGACATACATATTATACTCTCACAGTTTGTACATTTATGTGTCTCTACGTACATCTTAATATATGAATTGTATGCTTAAATACATTCATATTTGATATTTGCCAAGAGGAAGATGGGTCACAACCATGGATGATGAACTCATAGCTTCCTATTTGTAATAAACCTCCATGTTATTTGGAGCTAAAAGGGTAAATCTTGAAAAATATAAACACATGGAAAACCGATGCCCAAGAAAGTAGGAATTTGAATTTTCTTATAATATGTTGCTTCTTTTATTCATGCTTTTTAGCATCCTAACATATTCTTTTCCAAGAACTACCAATTTGTTCTAATTCACTGTTATAAAAGTGACCTGATTCTGATTTAGATGAAAAATTCATGAAAGAGAAATTCAAAGCTATAAGTCTCCTGATTTTATGACCCCAACCATTTCTGCTTTCAATCAAATCTCTTCCCCATGGAATCTGCAGGTGGGAGATCTTGGAGAAAACTTTTGGATAAGGAGATGTTCGGGAATATCTCATTTAAAAGGGTTGATGTAGAGGCTGCAGCACTTCAGCATGAAGAGGCACGTGACAAGTTTAAAAAGATTAAGAAAGGGAAACAATCATGCTTCTGATTTCACTAGTTAATTGTTTTCACTTCTATTTTGATTATTTCTAATTGATATATTGCTAGTTCATTTATTTCTGTTAGGTCTTTGAATTAGTTATTAAGGTTTTTAGTCATAAAATAGTGTCATTTTTAGTGATTTACGGACAAGGGGTACACTTGGACTTTTGTCTTAAGCCATGAAGGTATGTACTTTTATTTTAAGTTGTTACGTTTCTACTTCACAAGGCATCTGTTCAGAACATAATGAGATTAGATATGAATATTTTTCACATAGAAAACTTGCAGCAGCTTGCTTTCTTGGTCTCCATCTTTTCTAGTTCAATTTTCTACTTCAGTTTGGATGATTTCTTCTATAAAAATCACTAGATCTGTCAGGACTGCTCTCTGCATTAGAGTTCCAGTGCAAATTCATAGTTCTTGATATTTTTGGCATTACGCTATTTCTGAATTTTTGTAGCCAACAATAGCTAGAAAAATGAATTATTTTGATGTTAGAAGGAACCACAAATTGTCAATGATGTTAGGGAATCTAGAGTTTATTTTAAAGATTACTGGTTAGCGTACAAGTAAAGTGAACCCATTTGTCTACATCTTACAGTAATAAAGAGGGTGTTAGAGCTAGCCGAATAAGGGTAGATTAGTCATTTTATTCAGTTTAAGTTATGTGCTTATGTGGCAGTTCTAATATAGACATCCTGTCCCATACTTAAGTGGGGGCAGTTTAGTCATTGTACAATTAATTAGAACCACTAATCAACATTATGGTCGACTGGTAGGGTTAGGCTATCAGGTTTGACTGTTCTTCTTCTTTCTCCCTCATTCTCTACTGGTTCGAACTGCTGAAACACAACTGTTAAAACATGGTATCAGAGCCATAAACGAAGGAGAAGGCTGCGACTTCAAGTTCTCCCTCCTTTTTTTTTTCTTCTTCTCTGGGCTGTGAATCTGAGGTACACAATCTGATAACTGCGGCACCTGTTTATTTTTTTAGGACTGCTGCAATCCCTATTACAAGTGTTAGGAAGGTGCGGCAGCCCTAGGATATCAGTCTAATACTGCTGTCACCATGTGTGACAGCCCTAGTCGTGTGGTGGTGTTTACCCTCTACTGAACAGTTTCAAGAGGGTTTGTGTGTGGTTGCTTGAGGTGTTAGGTTGCTGTCACGGTGACTGATATTTCTGGGTTGTCAGTAGTGGTGTGAACAATTTTTTTTTTTTTTTTGCTGAAAGGAGTGGCTGAATATCTCTGTCTAGTAATTTTCATCAATGTTTTAATCTGGATGCTAGCCGAATCTGTTTGATACATCCAGTTCTTAACCTGAATGTTGGTTTACATCAAGTTGTTGATTGTGACTAGTTGTGAGATTGTTATCAGTGTTTTGGAGACTGCTGTAGTGTTGCCTTGACAGCAGTATTTGTTTGGTGACTGAGAATTCAACATTAGAAATAGCAGTGGGGGACATAATGGCAGCAACTGGAGATGGTTCTAGTGATCAGAAACCGAGTGTGATGATCCCCTCCGACTATCTGGGTGTGCAGATGACTTCAATTAAACTTAATGGTGAGAATTATGTGCCATGGGCCAAGTCGGTGGAAGTTTTCCTCAAGGCAAAGAGGAAAGTGAAACACGTGAAGGAAGATAAACCATCAACTATGCCAACTTTATGTTCTTAGATACAGCTAAGGACATATGGGAATATGCCAAGAAGCTTTATTTTGGGCAGGATAATACTACAAGAGTATATCAGCTTTATCAGGAGTATTTCGATCAACAACAAGGGAATAAAACCCTAGAATAGTACTATGCCAGTATGAAGAACCTCAGAAATGAACTCAATGTCTATCATCCCCTCACTCCAGATGTTAAGGTTCAGCAACAACAGAGGGAGCAACTGGATGTCACTAGGTTCTTAGTGGGGCTGAAATCAAAGTATGAACCAGTTAGGGCTCAAATATTGGGAGGCTCTACTCTTCCTACACTTGAGGAAGTTTTTGCACGACTTCGCAGGATTTCTTTGGGATCTACAGAGAGTCTCACACCTTCTGACAGATCAGCATTTGTGATAGCCAGAGGAGGTGATCGTGGTATTAGAGGGGGAGGACATGCTTTCCAAGGAGGTCGTGGTGGTTCCATATTTAGCCGTGGTGGTGATCGTGACTCAGGGGGAGGCCATGGTAAAGGAAAAAGTAACTCTACTAGAAAGTGTACCCACTGTGGTAGGGACGAACATTCAGTGAGTTTCTGTTATGATCTCCATGGCCCACTACCTTCTACATGGGCTAATCATGCAGTAGTTGGTGGGGTTAATGTTAGTGATAACCAACAGATAGATCTAACACCTTCCACATCTACATCTATTTCCGGAAAGGAGATGATGAGTGTACCGCGCAATGAGTATGAGAGGTTCCTCCAGGCTACTTCACAACATACTACAGCCACCCTTGCACACTTAGGTATAGCTTGTCTGGCATCCAAACCCTCTCCCTGGATTATTGACTTTGGAGCCTCTGATCACATGATCGAGACTCCAGGTGTGTTCTCTTCCCTCTCTGAAACTTCCACATCTCAAACTATTACTCTTGCCAACGGTTCCTCTTCTCCCACTGTGGTGTTGGTAACGTTGACACGACTTCTCTTTCTTTATCATCTGTTCTATATGTACCTAAATTTCCATTCTATCTTATGTCAGTCAATAGATTAACTAAGACCCTTAATTGCTCTATTACATTTTTCCCTTTCTTTTGTGTTTTTCAGGATCTCAAGACGAGGAAGAAGATTGGTGGGGGGCATGAAGCCGGTGGATTGTATTATCTTGACAGTGGTGGATCATCAATTGCACTTCAGACTTCACTCACTCCTCTACAATGGCATTGTCGGCTGGGACATCCTTCTCTCAAGGCACTCAAGATACTGGTTCCGTCTTTGAGTCATTTGTCGTCTTTACAGTGTGAGTCGTGTCAGTATGGGAAACACCATCGGGTTTCCTTCAGTCCTAGAGTTGATAGTCGTATGTTGATTCCTTTTGCTTTAGTTCATTCAGATGTTTGGGGTCCGATCAATAGTCTTATAATGGTTACAAGCATTTTGTCACTTTTATTGATGATTTATCAAGGATGACATGGATTTATTTAATGAAAGAAAGGAGTGAATTATTTTCCATTTTTCAAAAATTCCATGCTGAAATACGTACACAATTTGGTGTTCCAATCAAAGTTCTTCGTTCAGATAATGGTCGTGAATACTTTCTTACTTCCTTTTAACAATATTTAGAATAGCATGGCATCATTCATCAAACTTCATGTGCATCCACTCCTCAACAAAATGGGGTGGCGGAATGAAAGAACTGTCATCTCCTTGAAACTGCTCGGTCTATTCTTCATCATATGAGTGTTCCTAAATGATTTTGGAGTGATGCTGCGTTTACTGCTTGTTTCCTTATTAATCGGATGCCCTCCTTCATCCTTCATGGTTGGTCTGCCTTTTCTATTCTGTTCCCCACCTTGTCTCCCTTTCCATTAACACCCCGGGTCTTTGGCTATGTGTGCTTTGTTCACAATCTGAGTCCTGAGTTAAACAAGCTGGATGCACGCTCTATTAAGTGTATCTTTCTTGTCTACTCTCGGACCCAGAAAGGGTATAAGTGTTACAGTCCCATTACTCAGAAGTTCTATGTTTGTCTTGATGTCACCTCTTTTGAATCCGTCCCCTTCTTCTCGGGACCTGAAGTATCGATATCTCCTCCTTTTCTTCCTCTTCCTCTTCCAGTTCGTGATTCCGTTCCAGTTGTTCCAGTTGGGGCTGACCCTTCACCTCCTCCGGTGCAGATTCCTACTAAATGACCACTGATCCGGCACGTGTATACTCATCGATAGACACCAGCTCCTCCTTTAACTCCTACCTTGTCTGTGGATCCTGTTACTCCTGTCCTAGAACCTTCAAAACTTGATCTTCCCATTGCTTTATGGAAAGGTAAACGCAATTGTACCCTCCATCCCATTTCCAATTTTGTTTCAATCTCTCGCCTTTTCGCTTCACATCGCCAGTTTGTTTCACTGTTGTCATCTATCTCTATACCTAAGAATGTCCAGGAGGCCCTTACCTCACCCGGGTGGCGTCAAGCAGTGGAGGAGGAACTCTCTGCTCTTCAACATACTCAAATGTGGGAGATCATTACTCTTCCTCCCGCTAAGCATGTTGTGGGTTGTAAATGGGTGTATACTGTTAAGTACTTGCCGGATGGCAGTGTGGAGCGTTTGAAGGTCAGACTTGTTGCTAAAGGTTAATCTCAGTTGTATGGGGTGGACTATATGGAGATCTTCTCTCCAGTGGCTAAGATTGGCTCCGTCCGTGTTTTAATATTATCATGTTGTATCTCGTAGCACCTTATGCACTTCAGTGCTACTCCTGCATTTTTTTTGGTATTATACTCCTAATGCACTTTGTGATGATGAATATTGCAATTACAGCTAGATTCTCTACTACAAAAACACTTGAACTTTTTTTTTCATCATTATGAACCCAATATTCTCCTAATCCTTACTAGAACCATCCTAAATCCTTTTTAAGCACTCTTATAGATATTTTCCCTCAAAATCCCTATATTTTCTTGAGTATAAACTTATCTATCATCTTCTTATCCATGGAAAACCACTAAGTGGAGCAATTTCATTGAAACTTTTAGAACATGAAAAAATGTAGATTTGCAAAAATTCTAGATCATATGTTGTACTGAAACCAAGATAAACCTGCAAATGAAGAACATCTGCTAATGGCTTCCTCTTTATGTGAGGCACAGTAAGAAGCTGGGATGGTGTTTGTCCAAAGTATGCAATCTGATCCTGTGTAGCACGTTGTTGTACCTGTTGCAATATTCCGGGAATTAATAATAAGCAACACAACTCAAAACTAATGAACATCAAAGAAAAGGCAGTTAGGCTTACCGGATCTGAAATTTTATCAATATCAACAGCCCCTTCATAGGTTATATAGAAGAACACGTTATTTGCCAATATAGCTTCTTTTCCACGCTGTTTGTATCTGAAAATTTCAAATTTTCATGTAAATATTTGGTAAATAAGCAAAATTCAAAATTAATAAAAAGAGAATTATTTTCATTGATAAAGTGGGTAGCTTGGATAGTCTAATGGAAAACTATTTTCATAGTAAAATGAAAATAAAAATTTGTGGAAAATGAAAAGAAAAAAAAAGAGACAAGAGTAGGAGGTGAACACCAAAAACACAAAGCCCCCAAGAAAATAAACCAATCTACTACTTTCCCAATCAGTGAACTCTCCTCAATGTTGTAAGACATAGAGCTATTGGGTTGGGCTATTTATTGTACTATCTTTCTTATATAGTTATTGGGCTGTCTGGGCCTAGGCCTATATGTTTTCAGATCCGTTTGTTCTACCTGCCCAATGAGGGGCATTTTTGTACTTGTATTATACTTAAAACTCCCATTTATATATCAATTAGGGCTGAGCAGAGGATAAGCTGCCGCCCCATTCTTCTATTTTCTTTTCTCTTCTCTTTTCTGCCTTCTTTTGTTTTTGCTCAAAAACCTTCATGATATCAAAGCATAAGAAGACCATCTAGGGTTTGGTTGAAATTCTTCTACCTCTCTTCCACTCTTCTTTCTTATCTTTTGTATTTTTGACCACTGATTAGTTTAATTGAAACCCTAATCAGTTTGTGGTCAGCTTGAAAGACCACACATTATTTTTGGAGTTTTACCTTGGGTAAGAGACCAAGGAGACCTAGAAAGGTTGGTTATGCCCTAGAGAATAAGCTGCTGCCCCATTCTTCTATTTTATCCTTTTTATTCTTCCTTCTCTTCTTTTTGCTCAAAAAACCTTCGTGGTATCAAAGCATAAGAAGGGCTTCCAGGGTTTGGTTGAAGTTCTTCTACCTCTCCTCCACCCTCTTTTCTTATCTTTTGTATTTTTCACCACTGATTAGTTGAAACTGTAATCAATTCATGGTCAGATTGAAAGTCCACTGATTTTTTAGGGTTTCACTTGGGTAAGAGACCAAGGGGACCCTCAAAAGGTTGGTTATTTAGAGTAAGATAAGGTGGAGAATTCTACAGACTGCTAGGGAGACTTGAGTTTCAGGTCTTGTTACTGGACAGCCGAAGAGAACCCAGAAATCTGCCGGATGTTGGGGTATTATTCACAAACCTCTGCTGGACAGCGAAGTATTGAAATTTGAAGTTTGCTGAATGGTAAAAGATCATAACCAGCTTTGCTGAATGGTAAAAGATCTTTGTATTTCCAAAAGGCAAACAGTCCATTAAACCTTCAGTTATGATACTGTTTTCAAGTTTTCTGTTATCAGTTGAAGTCAAATATTGCAAGTTCAACGTGTCCAGCACTAGTGAAGCAACTTTCAAGGAAATCAGAACAGGAGAGAATCTTTCTAGCCTTGAGAACCCTAGTCTACAGATAACCAGTATCAAATTGGTTGAATGAAATTACAGAGAATAGGCTATTTCAGCCAAACTTTATACAACAGGTTTTGGACTGTTAACATATATAAATGGGCAGATTTCAGAACCAAAAGAAGACCAACCTGAGTACACAACTTGGTGTAGGGAGAATGCCACAATGATGTCTTGAACTCTCGGCTCCATGACACCAAAAATAACTAGAACTGTACACATTATAGTACAGCCTACAAGATATGAGACAAACTTCAAAAATCTATGGCCAAAGGAAGAATTTTGCTAGGGTTTACAGATTAAATCAAGACATTGCAGCCTTGAATCAAGAGGAGATGACTGTAGCCACACATTTTGCAACACTTGAGGGTCTTTGGGAAGAGCTTGATTACCATTTAACCTTGGACTGAGATAGTACTAAAGATAAGAAAAGATATGATAAGTAGGTTGAGGAAGGAAGGACATTCAAGTTTCTTGCAGGATTGAATTCTTCTTATGAGAACATCACTCTCAAATTTTGGGGAGAGATGAACTTCCCAACCTTTGGCATGTTTTCTATCTAATTAGAAACAAAGAGATAAGAAGGAAGGAGATGGGAGATGATGTTAAGATTTGACCAATAGAGCAATCTGCTCTTGTTTCAGCTCCTCATAAAGGAAGTAAACGTGGAGACAAGAAGAACTTGAAGTGTACTCATTGTGGAGGAGAAAGACAAACAAAAGAAACATGCTGGATTCTTTATCCTCACCTCAAACCAGCAGTACAGGGGTCCTAGTGGTGCTATAATTTTCAATTTTTATTAAGGTTCAAAAACAATCCAAATGCAGTCAATATACAGTTCCATCAGACTAGGCACTGATATGCTCCCATATCTGTGCATATTGGACCATATCCACCAATATGGCGTGGTATAACCTGATACAAAGGCATATTGTGCCAATACGCACAACTCATGGGATAAATACCCAGTTGTGGCATATCCCATGTTCGCGGCCATGTATGCAGATATGATACCCCGCATTAGGAGTATCATATCTATACTTTAAACCTTGGCTGGCCAAAGTTTAGTGGAGATCTAGAGAAAGAAGTTTCATGAAAGTATATTTTTAATAGCAATAGACATACCCAAATATCAGGTCAATCCATTCATGCAAATGTGCAGAGACATGCTCACTCTCAAGAGCCATACGATGCTTATGAATGAAATCAACAGGGTTTTCAGCCCAAGGTGGAAGTCTGACAGAATCTGCAATATCAAATATGACTGCTAATTCAGCATTCCATAGTCAATTAGTCAGTTTTAAGATAAATGGCAGTAGTTCAACACTCTCTCATTCCAAGTGCCTAGATATACATACCAAGTTTTTCCCCCAGTTGTGTTGTGCCAAAATCAATTGAATTTTCATTGGTTAGAACCTCGGGGAGGTAAAATAGCTCTGGAACCTAGATGAATTAAAAAAAAAAACAATATAAATGTCTTCTGCAAATAACACAATGAAAATATAGATTAAAAAAAAAAAGAAATGCACACAACAAACAAATTAAAGAGTTTTTATCATGATATTGAAAGGGTGTTCACGTAGCACTGATCAAGCATGCTCTTACCAACTCCTTGACATCGCTCATGTCCTCAAGAACACCATTCCAAGTAGAAGCTATATCTGAGAACATCCGGTCTGCATGATCAAAGTTTCCGCCTTGTAGCTGGATTGAAAGGGTTGTAAATGGCTCCACTCTAACAAGGTAATACAACACCTACGAAGGAAAAGGGAACCGTGAGGTTACAATGAAAGTACACAAAAGAATCACTTTGTCCATAATTTCATTACTCAATATTGTTACCAAAATTGTTCATTGAGCCACTAAGTACAGGAGAGACAATATGAGCACTTAATTACAATACATCACAATAGCAACAGAGTAAATGAAAAAAGTGGTGCATTTTCCAGGTATAAAAAAGACAAAATCTGGAACAAAGCAAATTAACAAAAAATAAGAAAGATGAAAAAGAACATAAGATGCAAATAAATTGAGAATTCCCTGAGAACCTCACTCCACACCTAAAGAGATTTTAGGTTGACGCAATTGCCAGTATGACAATAAAAGCYYTYMAWSSAYWASYYRAWWTGRWWWA